TTCTTCCAAAATTGTATAATGTCTATTATACCCTTTTATATAATTCATAAATTACAAACCTAAACATACTATTATTTTGTAACTTACATGACAAAACCACATTTCCTCAAATGATAAAACCGCATTTTTCCGCCAAAACCGTAAAAACACGTTTTTCTGCCAAAACTGCAAAAACGTGTTTTCTCGCCAAAATCGCAAAAACGGATTTCCTACCAAAAACCGCAAAAACATTTTTCCGCCAAGACCGTAAATACATTTTTTCCTAGCTAAAACGCAAAAATGTGTTTTCCACCAAAACCGCAAAAACTCGTTTTTCCGCCAAAACGTATTTTTCCGCGAAAATGCGTTTTCCGCCAAAACCGCAAAAAATAAGTTTTCCTAGCAAAACTGCAAAAATCTGGTTTTCTGCCAAAACGCATTTTCCCGCAAAAACCGAAAAACACGTTTTCTCATAAAAACCGCAAAACACGTTTTCCCACCAAAACGCGTTTTCCCGCCAAAACGCGTTCTCGCAAAAACACGTTTTCCCGCCAAAACGTGTTTTTCGCAAAAACACTTTCTTCCGTCAAAACGTATTTTTCGCAAAAACGCGTTTTTCCACCAAAACGCGTTTTTCCGCCAAAACATGTTTTTCGCAAAAACGTGTTTTTCCGCCGAAACGCGTTTTTCCGCCAAAACGCGTTTTCCCGCCAAAACGCGTTTTCCCGCCAAAACGCGTTTTTCGCAAAAACGTGTTTTTCCGCCAAAACGTGTTTTCCCGCCAAAACGTGTTTTCCGCCAAAACGCGTTTTCCGCCAAAACGCGTTTTCCGCCAAAACGCGTTTTCCGCCAAAACGCGTTTTCCCGCCAAAACGTGTTTTCCCGCCAAAACGTGTTTTCCCGCCAAAACGTGTTTTCCCGCCAAAACGCGTTTTCCCATCAAAACGTGTTTTCCCGCCAAAACGTATTTTCCGCAAAAACGCGTTTTCCTGCCAAAACGCGTTTTCCCGCCAAAAGCTATTTTTCCGCAAAAACGCGTTTTCCTGCCAAAACGCGTTTTCCCGCCAAAACGTGTTTTCCGCAAAAATGCGTTTTCCCACCAAAACGTGTTTTTGCTAAAACCGAAAAATGTGTTTTCCCGCCAATACCGTAAAAATACCTTTTTTTGCCATAATCGCAAAAACACGTTTTCCCGAAAAACACATTTTCCTGCAAAAACGTATTTTTCCGCTAAAATCGCAAAAACGTGTTTCCCGCTATAACCGCAAACACGCATTTTCCAACTAAAACCACAAAAACCCGTTTTCCCCCAAATCCGCAAAAACTCATTTTCGCGTCAAAATTATAAAAATATATTTAAAATTAATATCATAGATATGACTAAATTAAAACAAGGGTATTTTAGTAATTTTTTTACTAAACTCATCTAGATGAAGAAGAAAAACAAAGAAACAAACATGAGTCCATCTAGATGATCCATTTAGATGGACCATCTTGATGTACAAACAAACAATCTCAAAAAATGTGGATGGACCATCTAGGTGAATCATCTAGATGGATTAGCTGGATGGAGATGATAGATGGTGAAACAAACAGCACCTAAATGGTTCGTTTAAATCAGATTATAAAAATATTAATTAAACATACATTTATATATATATGTTGAGACTTGTTAAACTGTTAAACTCGAGATTAAGTGTCTTGTAATAAATAAAGCACGAGGGATGAGCTGGGACATGTCAGAGAACGGCAACTCCAACTATGCATCAAAGGATCAAAAATCACTGTTTTCTTGTTCACGACACTTCACTTTTGTCCTACCACGATCACGAAAAAGAGAGAGATATAATTAAATAATCTAATCTTGCCCTTAAATCGAGATTTTACTTAAACCAAACATTATATAATAGGTTGTGCAAGCGTGTGGACTTTTTAAAACGGGTGTTTCGGTGTAGATCCACAAACATGATGAAGGCCTTACTTAACGCTAACAGAATTGGATTTTCTAAAGCATGTGGCTTGATTTCTGGATTTAAATCTTCATCTGACTTGAAATAAAACGTGAAGAGCCACACCGACTCTGTGATTAGGATTTGTAGAGATATTTCTCGATTAAAGTGTTTAGATCGATAGAATCTAAACATCCATATGTACTCCATTGAGATTGATATGATGGTCATGATTAACTCCATTATATGGCGTGATCAATATACTATACGGAGATCGTTAGTTTAAATTTGCTTCGAAACATTTTACAAGTACGGTCCATCGTTTCTACTAGAAACTTTCGAAATGAAGTTCTATATTACCGTGTATTCTTAATTTAGGTTTTTTGTTTGCATGTATTGAATGATTAGTTTTTATCTCCAGATAAGACTTTGCTTTTCATAAACTAGAAGCGAGTCGCTTTGATTCTATAATATACGTACGTACGGCAAGGATGTGTGTACGAATAACATTTTTCTTTTCTCCTGTTTAATAGGTTATAAGTCTCAGTGGTTTTATTAATCTAAGGGACATTTAACGGTGCGGCAATATGTCATTATAAGTTTATAACTTACAAACAAAAAAAATGAAACCACCAGGGGGCCTGACCATGCAAGGTGCAGTAGGGTTTTTCTTTTGAAAAATTAAAATGATGTTATTCTTATTCGCTATTTGTTTATATTATAGACAGAATTGTGTTTACTGATTACATGACGTAATAAGTTATTGATCCTCCTTTTACATGAAATTAGCTGATTCAGATACTTATTATAGGTTCTTGTAGAAAATAATAGACGATATCAGAGCATCCACATCAATGAAACCCCTCTTGGGGTTCATTGATTCAATTGTTTATTATTAAAAAATTTTGATTTTCTTTTTGATTTTTTTTAAAAAAAAAAAAAAAAAAAAATTGACCAACCGCGGGTCGCCACGTGTCCCGGGACCCACGCTACAGTGATGAACCGGATTCACCGCAGAGAGTCTGCAAGAGACAGGTTCATCACTATTCCTTATTTTAATATTTTTTTTTTTTGAAAACCGTGTGAACCCCCCATCTGAACCTCTGATGGGGGTGCTCTCATATAATATAGATATATTCGCATCTTTCCTCACGTGATGTGCCGAGATTCCAATCCATCTGCCAAATGCAAGGTCACGTGAGCTATTTACAAAACGTAGTCATATATATACGTATCGATGCATTGCGTGGTTGGCCGTCCTAGAAACCATAGGAATAGTAAATATCATTTATTCGTTAGAGAGTGTGTACATGCAACGATGCGTAAAAAGATGTACAAATCTGCAAATATATCGAAGTTAAAACATTGAATCCTGTAACTGCAGGTTCAATTTCCGAATAGATCATGTGGAGATTCATCCATGGAGTGCATCAATACAAGTCTATCTCGATTAAATTTTTTAATTTTGTTTGCACTGTATACAGAAAGGATGATCCTCGTTCAGCGATCATATCTCAATGTGGCTTGAATAAATTTCCAGTTGCACATATACAGTTTGATGTTATTCTTTTGAGGAATTCATTTAACTGCATCAAGGGCAAAGTTAGAGAACTTTTCTATTGGGTGCACTATTATTAATAAAATTGTAAAAGCAGAGCAAAAGATATCAAACCTTGTTTGTGGGTGAGTGCACAATACATATTTTCCACCTAATCTAACAGATTTTAAGTGTTTTCTTTTACAAAATTTAGCTATAAATATTTTTTATGGATGCACGGACCCATAATATAATGCCCGGCTTCGCCCCTAACAGATTTTCGGTGTTTTCTTAGAGCATTCCTATTAGAAGATGTAAAGAGAGGTTCACACAACTCCAGAAAAAATTTAATATAATAATTTGTTTTTTATGAACTTGTATCACTTGAGCTTGTTGGGATGAACATGTATCAACATTATCCACGGATTCATCCCATTGACACGTATCAGCCCACGATTAGTTGGTTTATTAAATAATTTTTTTTTATAATAATCAAAAATGAATTTTGGAAATCAAAATCTCGGGAGTTCACCAATAGAGGTGTTTTAACTGCGTGCCAAACATGCCAAAGAGAAAACCGTGTAGTTTTGAATTTACTATACGTAACAAAACTTTTATTGAGAAGAACCAAAATACTCCACCACAAAGGGATCACTTAACCCTAGTGTTCAAGAACTCGTTAGGCACTAGTCGGGCGCTTGATCTGGGTCTAGCGCCTAACTGATAAATCCAATACATATATATACTTGTATATGTGACTATAGATCGGCTAAGCATGATAGTTTAGTGGTTTGTGGCGCATTTTGATACTGTAGGAGGTAGCGGGTTCGAATGCCAGCAGTGTCATTTCCTTTTTATTAGTACGACTTTGAAAAAAAAAATATGAAAACACTTACTTTTGTCCCACATCGGTTACCAACAAAGAATTTCATTCATTCTCAAGACAAATGGGCTTGTTTATTGGGCCCGAAATTTTTCAATAAAGTTTGGTTATTAGGCGGTCTAAATCGGGTTTAATCCGATTTTTGGGCGATTAATCGGTTGTATTTTCGATTAATCGGTAAACCGAATAGTCAACGATTTGGTTAAAATCGGGGCGGTTCCCTAATGCCAAGCGCCTAGTCGGCCGATTAATCGGCTAGGCGTCCGTGTTTTCGAACAGAGCTTGACCCCTATCAATTTTTAATACAATTTTTTTTACTTGTATTTCTAATTAAAATCCTAGTGAAATTCTATAAAACTTGTACAATCACCACCCTAACATTTGCTCAAAACTAACTTAGACCTATGATTTATTTTGGTTACATCCATCCATATGCAATAAATCTTTTTATTTTCGAACTAACAAAAAGCAAACAGTTAAAGACATATCATGCCACATATGCTTAAGGACATTTCATAGAGTGTTTTATACTGTATATTTTTTATACATTATGTCAGAATCTTATATATTAAGCCGCCAACAGTTTTTTTTTTTACATGATTTTATATATACTATATATATTAAATGTCAACAGACCATAAAATGATATGTTCTATTTGGGCTTAAGGCCCAACATACAAATCTGTTCGGAGGCGGGAGCTTCCCATTTAACGGCCATTCCTCTCATCTCTTCAAACTCTTCCACACATCTCCTCGACTCCAAACTTCCGCCACGTTTCCTCGCACGTGCGAGTTTCTCCCCGGCCACTTCGTCAAATATCTTCTCCCAACCTTCCTCCCACTCTCCATGTGCGTCGCACAGCTTCAACGTTCCGTTCTCCCACTCCGTCCAGCTCCACTCTTTGTTAAGCTTTCTCATTGCTTTCGCCACACACGAGCCGCTACACGCGACGGTGCACGGACGGCACTTGGCACCGTTTAACGGTCCAAGGCTAGAAAGTGCAGCCACGGGAACTCCGTAGCTAGACGGAGGGAACTCGTAGGTTCGGTCTGTCATGATGCAAAAAGGGAGAGGTTTGGTTACGTAAGGGACACGTTGTGTTGAGAGCTGCGCCTTGAAGGCTGATTCAGAATTGAGATGATTAAAGCCAGCTGAGTCTAGGTCGGGAATGAGAGAGAGGCGAGAGAGAGCCACCGTTGAGGTGTTGAGATCGCCGAGGCCAAAACGGTCGTTAAGGCCACCGTAAGAGGAATCAGGTGGGACTAGGTATTGACCCTGTCTGAAGTATTCCGGGTCGAGTGAGTCAGACCAGTAACCGTCAACACGGGTCCGGACTATCCAGTCGTAGGTGAAGTTGTTCTCGTTTTGGTATCTCTTAATCATCGTGATGCATCCTTCCACGAGATTAAAGTATTGTAATAAACCCTGTCGAGGCACACTTGAAGAGGTTAGGAGATGGTAAAAGCTAATTTGTGTAGATTAATTATTATATATGTTGTGCATATATATATCACATACAAGTATACAACAGAAACACTTTCGAAATGTAAAGGTGCAAAATCAAGTAAATGTGAATGAATAGTAGTATATGATTAAAATTATCGCTATTGTTATTTATGAATAAAACAAATGGTGCAAGAAAGAAAAAAATGAAATATAGCTCTGTCAACTTAACAAAACCAGATGCAACAAAGTTCCAAACCAATGTACACATATGCTTATAATACATGCATGGAACCCAAAATACACTAAAAGCCTCCGCATTAACATCATCACATTGCACGCAATAACCATTTCAAAAACAAAACCATTTCATAAAAGACTATTACCATACATTGCGAGACGATGACAATTACCAAGACCAGAGAGAGACGTAATTAAGTACCTCCATTTGCAATGACATTTATAAAACTATCCTCCCTCAATTAATAGATGTTTTTAGAACATCCTTAGAGTGTTTTGAAAGACTCTCATACCAATTTTCTTGAAAAAACATAAGTTCAGAAGAGAAAATAGAGAGAAATATTTTTGCCAAAATATAATAAGATTAACAAATGTCATATGTTTAATGATTAGTTGATTTTAGGAATATAAGATTATATAATTAAAATACTGTTATTTAAAAAAAAAACTTTTGGAATGATCTCACTGTTAAATACATTATATTCTTAGTATTCCACAGATATTAAAATAAAATTTATTTATATTAGTTATTTAGTGATAACTTTAATAATAACAATACCTTTTTTTTAAGTTATCATTATTAACTGACAATAATTACATGCAAAAATTTTAAAATTTTAGTTTTAAAATCATTTTTCAAAATGTTTATCTTTTGAAATGTTAGAAATACTTTTGTCATAGAAGAACAAAAACGATTATGTATTTGATGACTGATGAGATTGTGAGAACACCAAATATAAACCAAACTTATCATACACACGAGTAACGAACGTATCAAGAAACCTAAACCTCTCCAACTAAACCCTAAACCTCTCCAACTAAACGTACCCTCTTGAGTCTTGACCAGTTTCTTTGAAAAGGTAAGAAGCTAGAGATTAACCTGAATGCCATTGGGCGAACTCATAGGTGTGAGAACTCGAACCATAGACTCAGTCTCGTTGATCGGTGTAGGCTCGAAGATACGAACCCACGCGACCCTCGGCGAGTCCTTAAGCAACCGTAGCTTGAAAGAGTTGTTATCAAGAGGACTATTGAGAAACAAATCAGCATTAGGGTAAACCTTAAGGATTTTCTCAATAATCGACGGTCCGGTTAGCTCGAACCGCCTCGCTCCTCCAACTAAACACACCGCCATCTTCGACTTCACCAACTCATCCCTCTTTCCCCGCCGTATATCGTCAATATCCTCTTGAGGATCTGAACTGGAGTTTTCGGTGGTGGAGGTTAGAGTATGAGTGTAGATTAGGTTACGAAGAGGGGAGAGAGTGGGAGGAAGAGGATCAAGTGTGTGTGTGGATAGAAAGTGTAAGAGAAAGAGAGATATACAAGGGATTGCGGGGACGAGGAGAAGACGGCGATCAACGTCGGAGTTTCTTCTGGCAACGTACATGACGACCGATCTTCACCGTGAAACTTTTTTACAATATAACCACCGTTGGTCCTTCACACGGTTGATCAATACGTGTGTGCATATATATATATATACTGTATATGGAGTGGAAAGTGAAATCATTTTTCAGAGTTGGTATGGTTTTGTTTTATCTTAAGGTATATATCTCTACTCATATTATTAATTAATTTGATACCTATTGATCACGTCACAAAGGATTATGAGATTTTCACGTTTCTTCAGTTGCTTAATGGATGTTTTAAATACTTGATTTAAGTTCTTGACCAAACAAATTAAGTACTATTGTCTTCCTAACGTCGTTGTATTAATTTCAAAGCTCCTCTCGTCGAACTTTTTGACTCTTCACTAGATGTTTTTGTTGTTTAGTGTTGACTGTTAGTTGTTATAGTGTATGCATGCTGCCATATATTGATTGTTGCATCTGGATGTTTTAAAAACCTCTATGTACCATTAAAATTTTAATATTCGTTGGTAAGTCATCTCAGAAATAAAAAGAATTATCTTGATTAATATTATTTTTAAATGATTTACCATATTATTTTTATTTTTTAAATATATTTTTTAATCATTTCTAAAAGTTACAACTCTACTATAATATTATATTGTCATAGGAAAATGATTGATTTTTTAAATGTATACTCTGGCGGCTTTGCATCATTTGACATTTAAATATATATATATATATATATATATAACAAGTAAAAATATTATAAGATTTATATTAATTAGTTTTCTGTAATCTATGATTCATTGTAATCACTATGAATATAAATATATTAAAAGTTGTTTATATAATTATTTCTGTAGTTTTCATAGTATTTATATGTGTATTATGAATTTACATAGTGTAATATATGATATTTAATTGTTTATATAAGCAAAATATGTTAACTCATTAATACTTAAGATGTTTAATTGTTTTTTTTGATAACATAGATTAGATTAGGTAAAAAGCTTTAGTTAAAAAAATGAAAATCAATATCTACAATCAATCAAATTAAGAGAATTAATTAAAAACTTCATCTATAAGTGATCTAAACAAAAATCAGCTTAATGACTTCTCAATTAATATATAGTAGGATAGGATTGAAATTTTGAAAGAGCTAGTTGTATCACCCAAACCTCTATATATATTAGTCTTCTTCTTCTTGAACCGATCAATTTTTACTTTACGAATCATTGTTCATATCTCTACTCATCTTCTTCTTTAATTGAACATATTTTACGTAAGCTAGAGAAAGATATCATATCTCAAGGTACTCTCTCCTCGTCTCTTTCTTGAATTGATCAGCTTTAAGGTAAGTCGAGGATCTTATACTGTTTTTTCAACAAAATGGATGAGATGTGTGATTCTTGTGCAATATTTCATCCATTGTTTAGTCCTAATTAATCAGTTTCTTGTACAGTTACGATCAAAATGACAGAAAGTTTGTCGTCACTTGCCAATTTCTTTTCTTAAATAACAAGATCTTTAGAATTGGCTAACTGATAAGTTTTCTTAGGAAAAAAGAAGATAGTATTATCTTGTTCAAATTTGACAACGTGATTAAGAGTTGGAATAGTTGGTTTAGTGGAGGAAATCTCAACAAGTTGAAACAAGAATGTTAAATCATCTTCTCCTCGGTAAAAAACCTAAAATCATTGATTTTCCTCTTTTTCTTGCTATTAGATATGCGACAATTTATACATATACATATATTTCCTTGAATGATGCACCGAAATTCCAATCCATCTACCAAATGCAAGGTCATGTGATTTTTTGTCATTATATAAATTTTATTCAACCGAAAACATCAGGAAATCAAATTCGGTAACAAATCCCACTTTTGAATAAAATTTCTCAAATAAATATATCAAAAACTAGCTATAGTTAACTTATCCAAAGATCACATCAATTACTGTTAAATAACTTAGTTATATATATGTATCAATGAATTGCGTAGTTCGCGGTCCAATGAAATCTCATATAAGAAATTTAGTAGTAATATCATTTATTCTTTAGAGAATGTTAGCAAAGAATAAAAAAAAAATCTGCAATATATTAAAGTTAAAACATCGAATCCTCTAACATGTATCAGTTCTTGAATATATATGGTGGTTCTTCCATGTGGTATATATCAAAATATAGTTTAAATTTTGTTTGCACTGAATACTATATATCAATAATCAATACAGTTGAAATTCTGTTTTATATGAAAACAATTTGGCCAGAATCTTGAGCGACTATAAAACAGGTTTTAAAAGAAACTAAAACCAAGAACCAATTTTAAAACTACAGACAAAATCAACTTCTAAAAACTCAGGAAAATTTGTTAGTGAATTAAGTTGGACGTAAAATGATATGTTCTAGTTAGGCTTAAGGCCCATCATGCAGATCTGGTCGGACGCGGGAGCTTCCCATTTAACGGCCATTCCTCTCATCTCTTCAAACTCTTCCACACATCTCCTCGTGTCCAAACCCCCGCCTCGTTTCCTCGCACGTGCGAGTTTCTCCCCGGCGACTCCATCAAATATCTTCTCCCAACCTTCCTCCCACTCTCCATGTGCGTCGCACAGCTTCAACGTTCCATTCTCCCACTGCGTCCAGCTCCACTCTTTGTTAAGCTTTCCCATTACTTCCGCCACGCACGATCCCTTGCATGCGACCGTGCACGGACGACACTTGGCACCGTTTAACGGTCCAAGGCTGGAAAGTGCAGCCACGGGAACTCCGTAGCTAGACGGAGGGAACTCGTAGGTTCGGTCTGTCATAATGCAAAAAGGGAGAGGTTTGGTTACGTATGGGACACGTTGTGTTGAGAGCTGCGCCTTGAATGCGGATTCAGAGTTGAGACTAGTTAAACCGGCCGAGTCTAGGTCGGGGATGAGAGAGAGGCGAGAGAGAGCCACCGTTGAGGTGTTGAGATCGCCGAGGCCAAAACGGTCATTGAGGCCACCGTAAGAGGATCCGGGTGGGACTAGGTATTGACCCGGTTTGAAGTATTCCGGGTCGAGTGAGTCAGACCAGTAACCGTCAACACGGGTCCGGACTATCCAGTCGTATGTGAAGTTGTTCTCGTTTTGGTATGCCTTTATCATCGTGATGCATCCTTCCACGAGATTGAAGTATTGTAATAAGCCCTGTCATATTGATGCCAATAAACAAACACATGAGAAAATGTTCTCTATTTGAAAAAACTATACAATTACAATATTCACGAACACACTAAATAAGACAAAGAGATGCTACAAGCTAATTTGTACATGTAGATTACAAATTTTTCATTTTAGAGATCACATATAAAACATACACTTCTCAAAATGTAAACTAAAGTAAATGTGAATAATAGCAAGTAATAATCTATCACCATTGTTTTTTTAATTAAAAAATGGTGCAAGTAAGAAAACAAATTATAACTGTGTCAACTGAACAAAACTAGATGCAACAATGTTTTAACCAATAGAATGCGCTTAATACATGTTGGGGACCCAAAACACACCAACATCATCACGCCAGTTCACTACGCATTAACATCATCATGCCACGCATTAACCATTTCATAAATAATTATTACCATAAATTAAAATATACGTATATACATACCCTCAATACCTTTTTCACCACAAACCATATAGTATATGTAAATTACAAGCTGTCAAATAAATCAAGATCTTCTTTATGAGGAAAGTGGGTCCAGTAAAGGTAAGGAGTCAATTTCAATCTTGGACTAATTGGACTACAAGTCTACATAAACATTGCGAGACAATGACACAATTACCAAAAATTAGTAAGATGAATTTCAGCCTCAGATTATAATAACCAAATCGAGAGAGAAACAATTAAGTACCCCCAGAAACGTTTGTTTTTCTGTAAGCACATATTGCCAAAGAGTAATTAAAACCAACCACATCCCACTGTCATCTATTATAACATTTCAAAATGACCATTATAAAACGATTTTGTTATAAAAGAACCAGGAAGAAAATAATGTATTTGGTGAGATTGTTACAACAACATGAGTAACGTTACCAAACCAAACCCATCATAAAAAAAAAACATTCATTGACATGACTACATGAGTAACGTAGGCATCAAGAAACTGTTACACCAACCCTAAACCTCTCCAACTAAACTGACCCCTCTTGGCTCTTGATCGGTTGAACCAGTTTCTTATCTTTATTTTGTTTTGTTTCTTACCCTTATTTTTATTTTCTCGAAATGTCATTGTGATGTAATATAGCAAGCAAATAATTAAAAAATGAAGAAAATCTTGTTAAAAAAAAATAAGAAAAATTATAACATACCTTAATGCCATTAGGAGAATTCATGGGTGTGAGGACTCGAACCATAGACTCAGTCTCGTTGATCGGTGTAGGCTCAAAGATTCGAACCCACGCGAGCCTCGGCGAGTCCTTAAGCAACCGTAGCTTGAAAGAGTTCTGATCAAAAGGACTATTGAGAAACAAATCAGCGTTAGGATAAACCTTAAGAATCTTCTCAATAATCGACGGTCCGGTTAGCTCGAACCGCCTCGCTCCTCCAACCAAACACACCGCCATCTTCGAGTTCACCAACTCCTCCCTCTTCCCCCGCCGTGTGTTCTCAACCTCCTCCGCCGGAGTTACGTCGCGAGGGTCAGAGTTTGAGTTGTCAGTGGTGGCGGTTAGGGTATGAGTGTAGATTAGGTTACGGAGAGGCGCGAGAGTTGGAGGAGGATCAAGAGTGAGGGTTGATAGAGAGAGTAAGAGGAGGAGAGAGAGACAAGGGATTACGAGGAGGAGGAGGAGAAGACGGCGATCAACGTCGGAGATTCTCCTGGTAACGTACATAGCGACGGGTCTTCGCCGGTGAGTTCGTGTATATGTTTTTAGAAATTTTGGAAGTGATTTGGAGAGGCGTTGGTTCGTTGGGGTGGAAGGTGAGATTAACTTTCAGCGTGGGTTTGGTTTTGTTTTGTTTTCTTCTTTTCCTCTTTTATTTGTTTCTGATAAGTTATATACTCGTGCAGATATGATAATTTAATAAATTTTATACGTATTGATTACGTTACATGGGAAATGGTATCGTTTTTAAAATTTCCACGTTTCTTCAGTTTGCTTAATGAATGTTTTAAATACTTGTTTTATTACAACAGGTACTTGACCAAAAATAAATTGTCTTCCCCAAAAAACTTAAATCGTTCGATTAAATTTCGAAGCACCTCGTTATCACACGTATTGAATCTTCATTAGGCGTTAACTGTGACCGTTAACTGTTCTTGGGGTATGTTTCCATATGCTAATGAAGAATTTAACTTAATAAATGTTACAAGAAACAGAAAATGAAGGATTTTCTTAAAACATGTGAGAAGAAAATAACTGGGTTGTTTGGGTGGCAAGAGAAGTATTATTTTTTAATTTAACACGAGGCAAAGAAAAAGAATATTTTGTAGTCAAAGTTCATACCATTGACTTGTGATCTAGTTTTTATTATTCACTACCTTATGTATTTCATGCATTGTATTTTATATCAAGTTCTATATAAAATTTTAGTTAGGACTTGGACATTTTATTCGTTAAATTTGATTTGATTCGTTATTTTTTTCCGATTTGATCTTAAAATTTTGGATATCTGTAAACTTCTGAAACAAAACAAATACTAAAAATCAATATCCGTTAAAATCGAATCAAATCACAAATATTAAAATTTTAGGAAACGGTTATCCACTCCGATTCGGCAATAAAAATATATATATATCTTGATTATGTTTAAAGTTTTAAATGTATAAAATTATATAATTATTATTCTAACATATGATTTGACAAATTCTATTTACATAAAAAGAAGAGAGAAACGTATGAAAAATTATAAGTTTTCTTAAGTTTTTTGTTGTAATAGTTGTTAACTAAATTTAATTTTTTACTAAATATACTGATTCACTACTTCTTTTAATTTTATTTTGTATATCATGCAAAAATAATATTTTATAAAACACTTTTTTATCAACTTTATAAAATTGTATTAATCAAAACGGATCAGTTATCCATAAATATTCGTGGACTTCTACATGGGCTTAGATAACTTAATACTGGCCCATTACGATCACAATCAGAGAGCGGCAAATCGTCTCTCGAGACTTTCTTCCTTCCCTGAATCTGTTACGTTGTCTCAGGACTGTAAATGCCACAATGCAAGGAGGATCATCCGGTATCGGTTACGGTTTGAAGTATCAGGTACGTCACGCTCTCCTTCTCTTCTTTGCAATTCACAGCTTCTTCAGTGGTGGAAAACTCTGTTGTTTTTTTTTGCAGGCGAGATGTATATCGGATGTGAAAGCAGATACGGATCACACGAGCTTCCTCACTGGAACACTAAGCTTGAAAGAAGAGAATGAGGTGATTGGATTGTTAAGAATTGCATTTATCTTAACCGGATCTGATTTTTGTTTGATTGGTTTAGGTTCATTTGCTACGTCTGTCATCTGGTGGATCTGAGCTGGTATGTGAGGGTTTGTTTTCGCATCCTGATGAGATTTGGGATCTTGCTTCTTGCCCTTTTGATCAACGCATCTTCTCTACTGTCTTCTCCACTGGTAAGTAAAAAAAAGATTAGACTTTGTGATTGTAAGAATATATGTTTAGTCTTTTTTAGGATACTCTGTTTTGGATACTCTGTTTTGGATACTCTGTTTTGTGAAAGGAGCTGTCTTTACATTGTAGACTATGCATTTGCACTTGAAAGTATGTTACTTTTAAAGGACTCTTTGTCAATTTATGGAAATATGGTGTATTCCGAAAAAGGCAAATGTCGGAGATTTATTGTAATGTTGTTTCCATTTTAAAGGGGAGTCATTTGGAGCAGCGATATGGCAGATTCCTGAGCCATATGGTCAATCAAATTCATCAACGTTGGACTGTGTTGCCTCCCTTGATGCACATGTTGGTAAGATCAATTGGTGAGTTCATGGTTTATCTACGGAGTTAGGTTCAAAAGTCCTAGAAACATGTTACTTTGTTATCCACATTTTCATGAACTTATCTCTTTTCTCTCTTGTCGAAACAGCGTTCTTTGGTGTCCCTCTGGGAAATCGGACAAGTTAATCAGCATGGACGAACAGAACCTTGTGTTGTGGAGTTTAGACTCTTCAAAGAAAAGTGTTGAGGTGATTTGAGCTGTGTGAATGGAGAGAAATAGCCATTTTAAATCATATTCCCCACTTGAAAACTTTTTGCTGATTACAGGTTTTATCTAAGGAGTCTGCTGGTATGCGTCATTCTTTATCTGGTGGAGCATGGAATCCACATGATGTGAATTCTGTGGCAGCGACTTCTGAATCATCTATTCAGTTTTGGGACTTGCGCACTATGAAGTATGTCACCATGTTTTTCATATCATATGTTCCCATGGAATTTTATATATTCTATTCCTGAATGCATAGCTAGTGGTTTCACCTAATCAACACTTCAACAGTCTATAATGTTTAGTTTGTGGGTTCCAAAATTAGATACCTTTATGTTTGAGTTTGATATGTTTGCATGTTTCCAGGAATGTTAATTCAATCGAACGTGCTCATGTACGTAATGTCGATTACAACACCAAGAGAGAACATATACTTGTAAGACTTCTTCACTCTATATTCAAGCTGCACATATATAAAAACGTTATCATTTTTTTTTGTCTTTTATGTGTTGGGGTGTCTATTGTGTAGGTCACTGCAGATGATGAATCTGGCATACACATCTGGGATCTTCGGAAAGCTAAAGCTCCTGTCCAAGAGCTCCCTGGTCATACACACTGGTGACTTTAGCTCTATGCTCATTTGTGGAATCCTTTTTCTTTCCTTGGTTCTGGTTCACGTACACACAAACCTAATGCACTGGACCTGTAATTTGTGTCTCATATGATCATTATTTCTGATCATCTTAACAGGACATGGGCTGTCAGATGTAACCCCGAGTATGAAGAGCTTATTCTGGTACTCATTTTCTCATACCTTTACCTTCTTAGCACAGTTGAAATAATCTATATTGTAACTGTGCTTGTCACACTATAACGGCTTCAAGCTGAAACGTTCTGGATTATTTAGGATGATGTTTTACCTTTACAAAAGTACTTGAGCATTAGAAGTTGATGATTGAGGGACAATTATGTATATTTTTAGAGCGTCGTTTCTGATGTAACTTTAACCAAACACAGAGTGTTGGAACAGACTCAGCTGTCAACTTGTGGTTTACTTCGGCATCTAGTGAGAAGCAAGCCTCTGAAAGGTCAGTTCTCTTTATCATCACACCAACCCAAATTATTTGCAGTTTTTCCAACTTTTATTCTATTGTCCATGTTGTACAGGTCAACGGAAGCATCGCCTCAGCGTGTGAACCCGTTGCTAAATTCTTATACTGACTACGAAGACAGTGTGTATGGTAAATGCTCTTGGACCTAACTGTGTTCATAGTTCCAGTACTCCCACTAAAAGATGCATAAAAACTACTTACATAATTGCTGTTACAGGCCTTGCTTGGAGCACTCGCGAGCCTTGGATTTTTGCATCATTGTCATATGACGGCAGGGTACTTATTCTACTAAGAACCTAAAGAACATTCATAAAATTATGTACTGTGTACTAATATATTTTGGTGTATGCTTATCTAAGGTTGTCATCGAATCCGTCAAGCCTTTCTTGCCGAGAAGATAGGCACGTGCGCCAGATCGAAGAAGCTGCAGTATCACGTTTTAAAACTTATACAAATTTTGAACGTTTTTGAGAAAAAACACTAGAACAAAAAAACTTCATTGTAATCTGTTTCTCATGTCTCTGGCCATCCCTGTCACTCAAGTCGCAAGCTCGAGAGAATTTTGCTACAATTCAGTTTTATTATATAAGATTCTTTGTCATAATATACATGCCTCTTTGTTTTCCTTTTAATATTAGCTACATCTCTGACTGACCAAGCCCTGTTTCTGGATATTGCTGAAGTATGATTGAAAACAAAAATGGCTCTTCTCTAGTATCCTGAGAGAAACAAAGGACGCTCTATAGCGGTTCTATGTACACGAGACATTTGATACGAAATGCTTACAACAAGGCTTTAACCCCAAGGTTGGAAAAATTCACTGTGAAGTGTCCAAGCAGATGAGAGATTCAGTTGTAATGATGTTGAACGTCATTGATGAATGTTACTAGTCTGATAGCATTTCTTCAAGCTCAGGCTCATCAGAGGTAGATGGATCATCATAGTCTAAACTTGTCCCATTGTACAATCCCCTGTCTTGAAGATCACTTTGTTCTTCCTCATAGTCTGGCTCCGACCAATCTGGCTCATCCTCTTCTGTTTGACCATCATTAGGTACGGTTACTGTTCCTGCCTCTTTATTTGTAGACTTGTTTTTCTTTCCAAGCTTTCTAGATTCTATTTGCGCTTTTGCCTTGGCCTCTGTATCTTCGCATATGCATGTAGATGGATTCTCGTGAAACTCACCTCTTCCAGCTCTTACTTCCTTTGGCTCTCCCATAAACCCTCTCTGAAACGAACGGACTCTAGAGGTGAACTCCTCCCAAGTTGTGTTCTCTTTGTTCAGGAACAACCTGTAAAGCTTTTTTGCATTCGGCCTAACCGTGGGTTTATGTCCGAAGTACCTCCTGCAAGTTCATATCACCAAAAGCTTAAACACTTTGCAATACCATCAAAGCAAAGAAGAAGAAGAAGATGATGTTTGAGTACCTCCTCCCAGCCAATATTTTAGCCATATTGCCATTGTTGTTGGTTACAAAAACATCACTTTCATCACACACAAGGAAGTCTAACGCAGCCATTCTCGAAGAGTATGAAGCAAAAGGTTCCAGCTCTTCCTTTGTAGCTATAGTGTCTTTTGAATAGAAGTGTGGAAAGAGTGCTTTCAGAGGAGCCAAAGACTCTTCTCCTCCATATACTTCACCAGACGCGACATATATATGAACATCACTGCCATATCCTAAAGCTCTAAGCATCAGTCCGACTTCTTCTGGAGTGAGCGGACATCTTCCTTGTCGCCTCTGTTTCTCCGGGTTGTTAATCTGCAATAGAGTTGCGAAGTTAGCTATTCGCAGCTTGTTAACATATACAAATAACTGAATGTTACAGAATAGGCATTACATGTAATGTTTTCCATCTTCTTCTTATTGCTGCAAGGTCTCTCCTTTCCTTATCACCACCACCGTAATAGCATCCCGAGAATGCAAGCATATCAGGCTCAAACCTGCAATAAAAGCCATAATCGCTTGCGTCAAGACATTATTTAGAAAAAAATGTGGAAAAGTAGTATATAATAAAGACTCCTTGATGAGTAGAATGACTAATGTGAAGGAGTTAACTAGAGGAGTATACACATGCTAATAGATTAGAGCATTGAAGTTTGCCAAAACAAATAGAAGAAAACAATAACCACAGGATGCTTAAAGTACCAACTTAGCCAACCTATGAGGGGATGCTAAAAGTTTTCAGCTATGCTACATGTTAATTCTCTCCAATTCGATGCCCTTATTCAGTAATAAAGTGCAAAGTGAAGAAATATGAGGATTTAAAGGTAAACGGAGGCGCTACCTTAAATGTAAAGCAATGAAGTGTTTGCTCCTCAGTCGCATGCGCCGGACCAATTCATTACCCATTTTAAGTATCGGATCAGTGAACCTTAGAGCATGGTAATTTACTCGACATCTTAGCTTTTGCAAGTCATCGCTCAACTTGTTTGAAAGTCTATAATCAAACTTGTTCAATTGAACTGCCTGAAACATAATACAGTAAAACATAAGCCTACAGCTAGATACTTATCCATAAAACAACCACTTCTCCGTGAGTACACATGCCTCACGCTACTATTTTTGGAAACAAACATCAATATGCTAGCAGAAATATAAAGAAGGATATAAACCAACAAAACCAGTAAAAAGGCAAGACTTGTGAAGAGTAAGACCAAACAAATTGCTTAGAAATGTTTTCCCACTATCAAAAGCTACTAATACTGCGATGAGATTAGTTTCAGGGAAGAAGGAAACTTACATGCCTTTTGTTAAGAACAGGTAGAACCCGATTAATATAGCATCTCTCGTTACATTTTCGTGGGACACGCATTCTACTTGGACTCCATGTTCTCCCTCCTTTCGGTGGAAGTTGCTTTATAATTCTAACGTCTTCAGACAGGAATGACATGAACCAATCAACATCGAAAATATGCGCGAAGTCACTGCACAAACGCACACAAAGTTGCTAAGTCATTTTCCTTTTGGAAGTAAAATACGTAATGATTATTTGCAACGCCGAACCTGGCATCTTTCCAGTAAGACTTCTGGTCTAACTTAGGAACAACAAGAGTAGCATTTAGAATTCTTGCCGCAACAACTGCATCTACAATCTGTACAAAGACAAGTCAGAACAAGTTGCAATAAACTCTACATGATAGATGATAATCCAAAAGAATATAATTTCAACATAAATAAGATGTAGATGCTAACAAACATAGAGACTTCAGGAGTAAAGACATTACGTATAGAGCTTTAATGTTATATAAAAGCAAAGAAGGTGAATAGAACTCACTCCAGTTCGTTGTTGATTCAAACCACCACTGGTGGCAATTGCCAAATATCGATCATTTTTCGTCACTGCTTTTGCATCTGCAAAAAAAAAAAAAACTAATATAGTCGATGCCTGATTCAGTAGGCTAAAGTTTCCTACTTTGGTAAGATCAATGACACTACAATTAAAATAATAATAAAGAGTAACGCACTTGGGAACTTGCTGCTAGCATTGCTGCATCCGTAAAAGAACTCAGCGTTTCGTGAACGCCAAACATCACGATCTGATCTGCCTCCTTCTCTCTGTTAAACACACACAAACACAAACCCATTGATTAGAGAGATCCAGCCATTTTTTTTTAAAAAATAGAAAGCTTTGAATATAAAGCAACAAACCGGAACTCGGAAAGCTGCTGATTTGATCGAATCACTACCTCCTACAATGTTGATCTGATTCAGTTAAAAGACAACAACACCGTCTCAGAACAGATCAAAAGGTGAGAGATTTATATACATAGAGGGGGAGAGAGTACAGATGCGTGGCGAACGCGTGGCGGGAGGCGATCGGAATCTCCAGGATGCGGGGCGAGGAAGGAGAGGAAAGCGAAGAGGACGAGGAGAGATAAGGAGACGGCGAAAACGAGAGGGAGGAGGCGGCGGAGACGGTGGTAATAAGGGTAGCGCCGCCGCTGGAAACTCATGACGGCAGCCGCGGAACTAAGAGAGAGAGAGAGTAAGAGAGATTGGAATCAAAACGTGTGAGAGAATGTAACTGTTTCAGAATCACAAATCATGTTTTCGATCACGAGCGACAACAACAACAACAATATGAGAGGAAGAAAGAGAGAGAAAGAGAGAGATTTGTCTATAGGACAGAGCTACTTCTGTCTTGTGTGATGAGTGTAAAAATATTTTAATTTACCTGTTGAAAAGTAAATTGAATATTTACTTCTTCACTACAATAAATAAATATTTTAATTATTTAAAACAATGAATGTTTTGATTAATTATATTAAAATTTTATATATGACAAAGGCTTCAGAATTTTAGAGTTTGGAGCATATCAGATTGCATATAATTTGTGTCCAAAAAAAAAAGATTGCATATAATCAGATTATAATTTTTTTTAAAATTATATATTTTTGTTAGATCAATTCCAACTGATTGATATTTATTTCTATAAGACCATGTACATTCAAAACTACTCTTAACTTATTTTGTGTTTCCTTTAAAATAGAAAATGTTTGTAATTTATATTTAGGAAGTATTATTTTAAATACATATTGTAATAAACTCTATTTTTATTATATAAATTTTCTATTTCTTTTCTTAAAATAGCAAAATACATAGGAGATATTGTTAACTGAATCAAATAAAAGATTGATAGCATTCACATCTTTCATCTATGATATAAAATTTTAATTCGATTATCACCGATTTGGTTTACTAAAACTTTTATAGAAAAATAGACGTTGGCATAAAAAAAACTCAGACCACCTTAGTTGTTAAGGTGGGTTGTATTGCCAACGCCTTAAAATGACTCTAATCGTCGTGCAGATCAATCTCATCAAACTGTCACAACGAACCGGCAAGAGTCACCAGTTTATACATGAAGCATCAAGACCAGAACAGCTGCTCTTCTGTGATATGGGCAGATAATCAACAGAGGTGGAGACAAAAACCCAACTATTACCCATACTTGTTGGATAGTCCTTTTGCCCATGGACTTTGGTCTTCCGACCATATAATCCTCACCCCAAGCATTGAGCACCATCTTAGATTCAGAAGTGCAGCTGCAAGATGCTCCTGTGAGTCTCTAAACAGCTCAATTATCTTTGTCTCAGCTTCAGGGTCTTCACTCAAGACGAAATTTTCCTCAAGCTCTGTTTTCTTCTCCTGGAGACTCTCTTTGACTTCTTCGTTGAGCATTCTTAGGCTTAGAACATTCAACGCTTCTATTGCTGTTGTGTGATATCCTTTTTCCACATAACAATTGAAAACAAAATGGCATGTTGATGGGTCTGGATTCACTTTCTCTCTGTGCATTTGCTCCACTATGTACTCAATCACATCAATCATTCCCTGTGGATGAAACTCATGTTGTAAAGTAAAACAGTTTATTTCACTTTCAAACGTTTATTTACAACGTTATGTCTTTACCTTCTCAAACGCTTTACGCAAAATGGTGTTGTATGATAAGACATCGAGATGTATCCCTTCTGATGCAGCTTGGTCCATGAGATTGAGTGCTTCCTCGAAATTATCATCGTTCAACAAAATCTAATAAGACAAAAGTTTCAGGTTAAAAGAACCGCAATAAGGTTAAGAGTCGCTGTATTTAATTGAACTAACCTTCATTAGAGCAGTAAACGTGACTGCTTTTGGGGAAAAACCATCACGGATCATCATGGAAACTAAGGCACAAGCTGATTTATAAGAGTGAATAATGCTGCAACAGTCAATCATAATATTGTATGTCGCAGCGTCTGCAGGGTATCCACATGCTTTCATCCGTTTGAATATTTTGATCACCATGTTAGTCTGCATGCCATTTAAAAATATAACCATCAATATTGTAACACTATATATGTATGTTGGTGCAATGAATATTTACTTCATTAGCCTCAAGAAGTGATTGAAGCACTATGTTGTATGTAGGCGTTTCTAGATACATATTCTCAGCTCTTTGTAGGTGCCTGATCATCTCATTCACCATACCTTCAGCTCCGAGGGCTCTCAACTACACAAGGAAAGGGTAAAATATATAAAGGCATTGTTCTGAGGATGACATACACAATAACAAAGCAAAGGTTGATATATCACATCTGATTTCTAATAGATAAAAGGAATATCTATATAGAGAAGAAACTGACCACATTCCGCGTTGAGATAGGACTGTGCTGAAGACCATTTCTCACCATGTCCATTTCTATAGCGTTTATCCTTTTATAACAGTCCACTTGGGATAGCATGTTGCCCTCTTCATACGGTGCATTCACATTACCAAATAATGAAAAGAGCAGTTCATACGTTCTCATATCAGGACGCATGTTTAGCTGTTTCATTCTAGCCAAAACTCGGACAGCACGCTCTGGTTGATCCTACAAAACATTAGTAAGTCTGTAACTCTAAGTGACTTGGGAGAATTAGCAGAACAAAATTGCCAGAAAAAATAACCCATTATTCCTAGCGTCTCCTATGATTAGAGTGCCGATATAATCATAAGTATGGTTATTAAGACATCTAGTTTCAACTCATGTACTAGAATAAAGTAACACCGACAGGTAAACGAGGTATCTAGGGTAACTAACCAAGGAGTCACACGCAGCAAGAAGATTATTGAAGGGGTATGCATATGAGCACTCAGATACTTGATCCAGCAGATGTTCAGCTAAATCAACTTGAAAGGCCTTACTGCAATAGGCTGAAACCGTAGCGAGAGTTGAATTATATGGTTTCAGATTCTGCTGCTGCATTGCTTTCAACTGCGTAGGGATAAGAAAAAATCATTACATATTAAAAAAAAAAAAAACTGAACTACATAAAGAAAGAACTTTAAAGAGATGGCTTATACATTATATAGACCCTTACCAGTTCCATGCCATATACGTATGCTCCTGGGAATGCAACAGCTCTAATGAAACCATCATATGTGTGGCTTGATGGTGGCAACCCAAGCTTTTGCATCTGAAGCATTAGCTGCTCCGCTAGCTCCGAGTTTTTAGACTGTCCACATGCATGAATCACATCATTGAACGACCACCTGAGGATCCTAGTTGCAGGAATGTTACTGTGACCTTTTGGCAAAACCACTTTAGAAGACTCAATGTCACTGCTCTGTTGATCAGACGAGTTACACTCCAGAGTGTTCTTTCCATGAGCATCCACCATTAACGAAACAGCTTTCTCTGATCCCGTCTGGCTATTTGATGGTATAGGAATATCAAGTCTTGTGGAATGCAGTTTTCCACTTTTGAATTTAACAAAGAGCTCTCCTCTTGACGCTAGAGCCACCATGTGTTGCAATAACTCATACGCAGATTTCAAATCCCCCAACCTCGTAAATGACCATATGAACTTCCTGAGCGAGAGTATACTCAGACTATAATGGTCCACATAGTGTTTCAATATCTCATTAACAGACGGTAGATTCCGCTGAAGAACTGCAAGCTGGAAATAATATTAATCAGATAACAAAGAAAAGTAAGAGCCATGAAGCAAGACGTGTCACTGACTAACCTTGAGAAGTGCTGCATATGTTATTTCATTCTTTCCTACTCTCCTTTGATCCATCAACTCCAAACATCTACTAGCGTAATTCCCATTTCTCGTTTTGACACATGCTCCAAGAAAAAAGTTATAAACAGGCAAAAGAGGAGAGATACTATCATTTTCTCCCAGAGCCTGAATAAACTCTGACGCCTGAAGAAATTATAGCCAGAGAAATAATTAGAGTTATTAGATGAGATCATGTATGGAACTACTGGGTTTTTAGATTTGAATAGATTTATACCTTATCCAAGTGTCCTCCATTACAAAGAGCTTGTACTATGAACAACAAAGATCTACTGTCAAGATTGATTTCCTTCTTACACATTGCACTGTAAGTCTCCATGACAAACTGCAGGAACAAATTACTGCCTTGAGATCTGAATAGTGTACATCTAAATGGCCTTTTAATATATCAACTTACCACAGGATCAGGTGATCGCGCACAATACTTTAAAATGCCATGAAAATCATCTGCACTAAGTGGATTATTTCCATGTATCAGCTTTGAGAGTAGAGCAGAAGCTCCAGGCCTCTCTCCAGAACGAAGTGCATCAACAATCTGCTCCTGTAAGATCTTCCTCGTTGACTCATCTTGGCATCGGATGAAATCACCACCTGCACATGGAAGCTTTCACTTTAAAGCCACAAAAACTCGTCTTTAAGAATCCAAACAAAGTATGGATATACCATTAGATGAATAAAGAGTCCGGGACAGAAAGAAACAGACAATAAAAGGATGGTGGTATTAAGACATACCTATGAATGTCGTGACATTACGAGAACAAGAACAACCACCACCAGCCCCATTATCAATTCCACTTCTTCCCCGTCCCTAAATTCAAACCACCCATTTAATCAAATTAAAATCTTTTTAAACAGCACTAATCATTAGCAAATCTCAAAGCAAAACAAGGAACAGAGAACTAACCTGAGATAAGGTTGGTCTTAACTTAGACGACGTGGAGCCGACCATAAACCGCAATGGAGAACGCCATCTGTATTGCACAGAACAAGAATCAAACTCAAATAAACATTTCATCGAAGTAGTATTAGCTAACAAAAAAACCCAATTCGCCAAAAAAACAACTTACATTGCTCTGTACATTGCGCTTTTAATCCCGATCCTCAGGACACAACAACCTCCAAAGATCAAAACTTTACGATTATATCACAACTACAATCTCCAAAGATCAAAACTTTTCCTTAAGATCGATAGAAACATATTCGAAAAGATCAAAGACTTACTTCACAAAGCTAAAGCCCGTAACCAGAAGTTTTCAACTTTCGTCTTCGATTAGTCACAATTCGTTTTCAACTGTGTTTTACTTACGTATCAATCTCACTCTATGGTTTCTAGCAATCTGCAGAAAGAAAAGAGATGCGAACATGTCAAAAGAGAAAGAGAACAAACGAAACTCATTTCAGGTTTATCAAAAACACGAAAAAAACAGTTAATGGGCCGTTGTCAATTAATGGGCCGATAAAAACATTATATCTAAGCCCATAAAATAAGTTAGATTTAACAACAGAGTAAGCCACCATCCCTCTTTCTTCTAGGTTGCAGTGAAACAGAAAGGCGAAGGGTTCAAATTAGGGTTTGCGAATCGCAGCAGCTTCTTTCGAAAAACCGCGTAAAGATGAGCCGGAGCTTGGCGATACCAGTGAAGCTACTTCACGAGTCTTCCGGTCATATAGTGTCGGTGGAGCTGAAGAGCGGTGAGCTGTACAGAGGAAGCTTGATCGAGTGTGAGGATAACTGGAACTGCCAGCTCGAGAACATCACCTACACCGCCAAGGTAAATCTTACTTACTGTACAGCTGATTTAGATGCTGTGAACATAACCCTAGATTTGGCGAGAAATTGAAAAGTTAGCGGATTAGGTTTCGCCTCTCTGTGTGATTGTTGAGAGTAGTTCTAGAATCCTGGTGAATTTGTTTCCCTTGATTTACCTTAAACAGCGATCCCTTAAGCTGTAAAGTTACCAGTAGAGAAGGAAGGTTATGCAATTGGATCTTTTTGTTTGTTACAGTCACAAGTTATGACTTATAAAGTGCATCTCTCTCTACTATGTAGAATCATTGTTTAGAATTCACGGAGTTTCTGATTAATAGGTTTCAAGATTGTATATGTTTTTTTTTTTATCTTGATGTGATATGTTCTATTTTGGGATAAACTTAAGTCTCTTGTGTTGATGATTGTTACTGAACTTTTGTTATTGCCTTGGAACAGGATGGTAAGGTATCACAGCTTGAGCATGTCTTCATCAGAGGCAGCAAAGTCAGGTGCTGTATAGACTCTCTTGTTTCCTAGTTTTATCTACTTTATATTGGAACATTCATTGCCAACTTAGCTTGACTAATATAAGTGAGCTGTCTTGTGAAAAAAATATTGCAGGTTTATAGTGATACCAGACATGCTGAAGAATGCTCCAATGTTTAAGAAAGTGAATGAGAAAATCAAGGTATAATTCTTGAACACGATGCAGACGATTATGAGAGATTGTCATCAAACTCATGTATGTTTGATCTACTTTGATCAATGCAGGGAAAGATAGGTGTAGGAGGCAGAGGTAGATCTGGTGCAATGCGAGGCAGAGTAAGTTCTCCTTTTTGTTTCTGATTTTACATGTCAAGAAAACAAATGTTTTTTGTGGAAATTTTAAAACAACTAATTCAATATTGGTCATGTCATCAATGCTCTCAGGGTACTGGGCGTGGGACAGGAGGAAGGGGAGGCGCACCACCTGTGAGGAGATAGATCTTCTTCGGCCATGAGACAAATTCTATTCAGCATCCAGCAATCTTCAGCTTGTCGTTTATGCATCTTATGGTGCGCATTTTAAGTAAAATCTCCTACAAAATGGCAGCCAGAGAGAGAGAGAGAGAAAGGAACTAGTTCTGTATTTTGTGGGTTGCTATTGAACACCATACTGGATTATACAATGTGTTTCAAGTCTTAGTGGATCATCTCATTATTATTTTAAGTTCCTATATATAAAAAAGTTCACTAAGAGCAATTCTATTGCCTAAGTTATTATTCGTGCACCATGTATGTAAATTTTATCGATACACATAAAACCACTTGCAAACAGTTTGTGCTCTCTCCATCCTTTGTTTTTAATTGAACTTTAAACAAGCTTGACTCACCGGCTGGTAAAGGTGTGAGGAACGAGTTCTCAATAGAAGACAAAAGCAGCAACGTTACTGATAAACACAGACACAATTTGGCAATACCACATCCTCTTCTATCCCATCTCTTTTTGTTTGATATAGTAAAACTACCGGAAAGAGTAGTCTTCTTATAAACAAAGTCTTCCACCTGATTTGAAACAAAATATAACGTCTTCCGAATGAGAACAAGATTGGTTCAAGTCAACGGGGAATGTAGTAGACGATTAGTCATTGTCATCCGAACAAATGTGTTTTTATACTATCCACTCAAATGCTGCGACGTTAGTCATTGTCATCCGAACAAATGTTTTTATACCATGCATATTTTTTTTTTAACCAACAAGATATCACAGTCGTCTCATAACCTTACAAAAATGAACAAAAGATGGTCAAGAACAAACGGAGAAAGACACAAGGAGTAGGAGATAAATAACACAATCAATAATCTACTAATAATAGGAATCCCAATTAATTCTAAAGGTTGTGTGTTTTTATAGGGATCTCAATTCTTGTTAAAAGTTGTGTTTGTTCAATAAAGTATCTTTTTCTCAAAGGTTGTGTCTCTTCTTTGATAAAAGTTGTGTTTGTTCATTAAGGTGTCTTTTTATTAAAAATTATGTCTCTTATTAAAAATTGTGTTTTTTTTCATTAATCCTTATTAATTCAAAAATTTGTGAATCTCCATTAAATTAAAAGATTATGTTTTCATTTTATTTTTTTTTATTTAAATTACGTTGAAATAATGTACCTGTTCAAAAATTAGTTTATTTGAAAGAATGTGTTTATTTTTTTTAAAAAATATTTTTTTAATTTTTTTGAAAAATGTATCTGTTAACAAGTTAGTTATTTTGAAAGAGGGTATCTGTGTTAAAAAAGAAGGTATCTATTCAATAAATATATATGTGGATATATATATATATATATATATATTTGAAAAGATTTATTAATAGAAAGTTGTGACTATTCATTAAAAAAACTGACTATAATTTGAAAAGATGTAGCTTTCGAAAGAATTCTTTGAGTCTCTATATATTGTATGTTTACAAATTCTGAAACTAAAATTTTCACAATCTAAAAAAATGGGGAAGAATAAAGATTCTGTAAAGTTAACTAAATACAAATTATTAGAAGATATTCAAATGAAATGTTCATAATTAATTCTTAAGATTGTGTCTTTTCATTAAATTTTGTTTATAATTTTTTATTTCTAAAAATAGCAATCCTGATTAATTCCAAGAGTTGTGAAGTTGAAAGGTTATGTATTTTCAACAATTAAAAGTTGTGTCTTTTTATTTTAAAAGTTGTGTGTTTTATTTTAAAATAACTGTATATATTGAAAAAAATATGACTCTATATATTGAAAAATTGTGACTTTTCATATAAGTATTATCTATATATAATAGCAAAACATCAGTATTTTTGATAGGAAAATAAAATGATGATCTTAACGGTTCAAATTGATTTGGTATTTTAATCTAAGGGTTCTGTAGAAGATGTCATCTTTTGTTTTAAATAGAAGCTTTGTGTTGGTATAGGTAGCGAAGCATTGTGTTCGTTCGTAAATGGAGTTGTGACTCCTCATTCGCATCTCTTCCTCAGTATATATTTGATAATCAGTTTG